TTGATATATGAATGATTCTGAAAAATATGATGTACTTAATATCGCTTATTTGTTTTAAAAAAATCTATCAGAAGCTAGCTAACGTTGACTTCAAGGCACCGTCTAGGTGTTTGTATCTTCGTGATGGGATTTCGCGCCCCGTTCTCAATCCTTCCAAACTGCGAAGAAGTGCAATCGATTTCCAGCCGCATAATATTTCAAGTCTTGCTTCACCCCTCTTTATTGTTATGCTTGTTTAGTTCTTCGTTCATCAAGCTTATAAACTAAATGTTGTTCTAGACTAAATGGCCAGTCCTCGCACTCGTAGAGTATTGAAAGAGTTGCGGCCTCTGAACGAAAACAATGTGAGTTTTTTTTTAAATGATAACATTGAAGCTCGGGTTTTGCTAGTTAGCTTAGATTTCTTTGGAATTCCTTATTTGTTTTGAATATTTTTTACCGTGTCAACGAAAAGGAAAATTGTTAAACGTCTTCTTTAAATCTCGAAAAGTAGCTCTTTTTTTTCAGACCTGCTTCGAATGTGGAGCAAATAATCCGCAGTGGGTGTCTGTATCTTATGGAATTTGGATATGCCTTGACTGTTCTGGACTTCATCGTGGTCTCGGAGTTCATTTAAGGTTGAAATTATACAGATAAATTTAACCTCATTCAAATTTACACTTTTCAGCTTCGTACGTTCTGTAACAATGGATAAATGGAAAGATGTAGAACTAGCCAAGATGCGAGTGGGTGGAAATAGGAAATTTCGAGAATTCCTTGAAAGTCAACCAGACTATCGCGAGGACTGGTCACTCCATGACAAGTACAATTCACGCGCAGCGGCTCTATTTAGGGATAAGGTAGTTTTTCACAGAGTCGTAAGCTGTTTCCAGATGGGATTATTCTCTCAGAATCTTTTCGCAACATTTTTAATCTTATGCTTTGATGACAATATCAGATCTCTATGCAACTTGTTAGTGTTACGGTTTTTTCCTTACATAAGTGTTCCTCTGCAACATGAAAGTTAAATACTTTTTATCTAATCATATTAAGCTTTTCTAGTATGCCTATTCATGAAAAAACATCGATTTTGAAGCGATAGTTTACATCGAGCAAAAATAGGCGTAATCCGCCACGCCTCTTGCTGAAATTGTTCCCGCGCCTCCGAGATTTTTTACTACCATCACTGGTTCAGGGAGATTCAAAAAGCGCTGAGCGGTTATGTAGGCAGACCGAATCTTTTTTTTTT